GGTTCGGCCGGTTCGGTTTGGCCGGCCGGTTCGGTTCGGCCGGTTCGGTTCCAGACCCGGTTCTCGGTTCTCGGTTCGGTTCGCGGCCATCATGTAGTACGTCGGGTACCTGTACTCGGCTCGTGGTCGGGAGCCGTCCGCCAGAGCCTGGACCCGGCGTCTGCGGTCTCAAGCGTCACCACGAGGATCAGCAGCAGGGCTGCAGCGCGGCCGTGGCGCCCGCCGGCTGGCGGCGGCGCCGAGGCCCCGGGGCAGCTCCTCCAGGCGGGCCCCGGCGCGCGCGCGCGCTCTGCCGCCCTCGCCTGGCATCGAGCCGGCGCCGCCGCGGGCACGCGCCTGGCCGCCAGCTCGGCGGGGGTGGGCGGCGGCCGCGCCGCGGCGACTGCCCCCTCGCCCTCGGGTGATCCGCGGCTGGCGTGAGCCGGCGCCGCTCGGCGCCCGGGCCCCCCGCCGCTGCGCAGCTGCGCGCCCGCGGGCAGCGTCGCCGCCGCCCCCCAGCCGCGCGGCGCCAGGCGCGGCATCATGCGGCCGCGGGCGCCCCCTTTCGGGTCTGGCCCCAGGTCCCGAAAGTCTTCTGGCCCCGGTCCCGGGGCCCGGCCTTAGGCCAACTGAGGCCGACCCCCAGCTTGGCCTTCGAAAAGGCTTGAGCCGCCAAGCGGCGGAGAGAAGGGAAGGAGCGAGAGAGGGCAAGCAAGGAGGCAAGGGCAGGAGCAAGGGAACCGCAAGTGGAAGCCCGCGCCAGTTCTGGAAGCGGGGTGATCCATCAGTTTTATCAAACATCCTAAGGGAACTGCCTCGTTGGGAGACAACCGTTTGAAGATCCTGAAGCGTGCCAAAACATTGTTCTCGGGATTTCAGCGCTAAGGCGAGAGCCACAGTTTGAAAAGGAGCCGCCCTCAATCCGTGAAGCTCTGGCAAATTTTGAAAACGAATGTGCGCGGCGCTACGGCGAGAGCCAATTTTGAAAACGACCCGCCCTCAATCCGTGAAGCTCCTGCAATGTTTGAAAACGACTGTGCGCGGCACTAAGGCGAGAGCCACATTTTGAAAACGACCCGCCCTCCATCTGTGAAGCTGCTGTCATGTTTTAAGCTTTAGAGTCACTCATAAGTGGTAAGGAAGACTCAAGCGCGGGCCCGCCCTAAAAGCTGGCCTCGGGGTGCGACAGGGAGAAATTATCTACAAGGAGAATGAATGGAGGGGGAGGGGGAGGAGGAGAAGAGGGACGAGAAGGAGGAGGAGGAGGTGGAGGAGGAGGTGGTGGAGGAGGAGGACGAGTAGGGGGAGGAGGCGGAGGAAGAGGAGGAGGAGGAGTGGAGGAGAGGAGGAGGAGGAGAGGAGGCACGGCCGGACATCTGCACCGGCTGGCTTGGCCACCGCCCGCAGGTCGGCGGCTGCGCCCAGGTCGGCGGCTGCTGGCGCAGGCTTGGGCGGGACAGCCTGCAAGCGGGTCGTCGTCGTCGTCGCCGTCGCGTCGCCGTCGCCGCTTAACTGTCGCTCGTTCTCCGTTCGTCATTTACCATGCGTCGTCGTCGTCGCCGGCGCCGTCATGCCGTCGCCGTCTCCGTCGAGTTGCGTCGGCAAAGAGAAGGAGGAGGAGGAAGGAGGTGGAGGAGGAGGGAGGGAAGGAACAGTAAAAGGAGGAGGAGGAGGAGGAGGAGGAGGAGGAGGAGGAGGAGGAGGAACAGTAAAAGGAGGCGGAGGAACAGTAAAAGGAGGAGGAGGAGTAGCAGGAAGAGGAGGAGGAGGACGAGGATGAGGAGGAAACGGAAAAGGAGGTGAAGGCCGCCTGCTGGGTCGCCGCGTTCGTGGAGGAGCTCGGGGAGAGTGTGGGCGGCGCACAGACCGCTTCGTTGCGCCAGGAGGAGGAGGCAGACAAGGGGGGCGCCGGGCGCAAGCCTGGCGGTGGCGGCTACTTGACTGGATGGTTGCCAAGGCGGGCTCCTTGCACTCCGAGTCCCCCCTTAGCGTGGTTACTCATGCCGCCGTAGTACCGGGCTGGCAGTGGGAAGGTGCCTGGGGTGCTAGTCTACGGCTGAGCTGGCGTTGTTGGACAGGGTCATCTAGTGTGACTACAGGTCCGTGTGCTGGTAGATACAGCGCCCTGGAGGCCCGACGCGGCATGCCTTCTGAAGCCAGGCCAAGCATTTACCAGGAGCGCCAGCCTAGGCCTACTGGTACGTCTACAGACCCAGACGTAGGCCCTATCGCTTGGGACATGAGGAGCAGTGCGGCGCTGGCATCGACACGCTACTGCGGCCGCCACCCACGGTCAATTGGGAGGCAGACGACAGCCATTGCCAGGGCCCGTGCGGCGCTAGTCTACGGCACGCTAACGGGCTGTCAGCGCAATTAATGAAGCAAAGAGCATCCGAGCGTTTTCCGTTGCTGGCACGGTACTCTGGGGATCGACGGCTACAGGATGTTCTACAAGCACGCGCAAATATTGAAGCAAAGAGTACCCGTGCTTTCTCCGAGTTGCTGGTATACGGCATGCAGGGGATCGTCAGCTTCATGGCTTGCTTACATGTTTGCGGACGTGCGCCAAGGTGAAAGACGCCAAAACAGACACGGAGGAGGAGGAGGAGGAGCAGCAGCAGCAGCAGCAGCAGCAGCAGCAGCAGGGGGAGGAGGACGAGGAGGACGAGGAAGGGGAGGAGGAGGAGGAGGAGGAGGAGGAGGAGGAGGAGGAGGAGGAGGAGGAGGAGCAGCAGGCGAGGAGGAGGAGGAGTAGGAGGCGGAGAGGAGGAGGAGAGGAGGGACGAGGGAAGAGGATGAGAAGGGGAGGAGGAGGAGTTGGAGGAGGAGGAGGAGGAGGAGGAGGAGGAGGAGGAGGAGGAGGAGTTGGAGGAGGAGGAGGAATAAGACGAGAACGAGGAGGAGGAAAAGGAGGCGGAGGAGGAGGAGGAGGAGGAGGAGGAGGAGGCCGAGGGGGAGCAGGAACAGGAGAAGGGGGAATGTTCAGAAGGCCTCGAGCCTTCCGAGAAGCGCCTCTGATAACGCCGCGCCCAGATCGAAGGGCCATCGGGGGCAATGATAGGGGGTACGAGGGGCCATACGATCAGGCCACTGGGATCTCCGACAACCCGGTTTTTTCAACCGGCGTTTTTCTCTTCGATTTCGGCCCCCGAGGAACCGGTCGGGACTTCTGGGGCTGCGGATTGGAAGAAAATCGGCGGATGTCAGGCCACCGCGCATGGGCATGCAACCACACAGAAGGCGTGTGCTCGGTCGAGCGCGCCCCACACGTTCTTGTCCCGCCCGACCCGACCCGCCTGTTAGGGTCCGCCCGCCCGACCCGACCCGACCCCCCCGCTAGGGTCCGCCCGCCCGACCCGCCCGCTCGGGTCTGGGGCCCGACGCACGACGACGACGACGACGACGTCGACGACGACGACGACGGCGGCGCCGATGGCGACGGCGACGGCGACGACAGCGTCGGCAAAACCAGCGCCAGCGAAACCAGCGCCGGCGAAACCAGCCGCCGGGGAAACCAGCGGGGCGAAACCGGCTGGGCGTCACCAGCGCCGGCGAAACCAGCGCCTGCGGACCCTTGCGGGCGGGTCGGGTCGGGTCGGGCGGGCGGACCCTGATGGGCGGGTCGGGTCGGGGCTGGGAATGAAGTGTGGGCATGTTCGACCGAGCATGCGCGAAATCCAAAACGGGCCCCCCCCCCCCCCCCCCCGGGCGCTCGGGTCTGGCCTGGCGGACCCTGCGGGCGGGTCGGGTCGGGTCGGGCGGGCGGACCCCTAACGGGCGGGTCGGGTCGGGCGGGCGGGACAAGAACGTGTGTGGCGCGCCCGACCGAGCACGCGCGGACCCTAGCGGGCGGGTCGGGTCGGGCGGGCGGACCCCTGCGGTCGGGTCGGGTCGGTTCGGGCGGACGGACCCTAACGGGCGGGTCGGGTCGGGCGGGTGTGGGCGGGTCGGGTGGGGCGGGCGGACCCTAGCGGCGGGTCGGGTCGGGTCGGGCGGGCGGACCCTATCGGGCGGGTCGGGTCGGCCGGGAAATTAAAGTGTGGGGCGCGCTCGACCGAACGCGCGAACCCTAAGCGGCGGGTCGGGTCGGGCTGGCGGACCCTAGCGGGCGAGTCGGGTCGGGTCGGGTCGGGCGGGCGGACCCTAACGGGCGGGTCGGGTCGGACGGGCGGGAGATTGAAGTGTGGGGCATGTTCGACCGAGCACGCGCGAGCCTTAACGGGCGGGTCGGGTCCGGCGGGCGGACCCTGGCGGGCGGGTCGGATCGAACAGTTTCGCCGACGGCAGCTGGTTTCGCCGACGGAAGCTGGTTTCGCCGACGGCAGTTGGTTTCGCCCGGCGGCGAAACCAGCCGTCGGCGAAACCAGCGGTTGCCGCGGGGTGTTGGCTCAGGGGGGGACGCACCGGTCCCCGGTCGCCCATTTATCGCCGACAGGGGCCCGTCAGCCTGCTTCACCCGGGAACGTGCAGATTCGCTACTGGGGGCCATCGCCGATCGATCGGCGATGTATCGCCGATTCCAGGTCGATGTTTCCCTCCTGGGGTGGTTCCTTCCCGTCGTTGCCCCTCAGGTCAGGAGGGGGGATTGTTTTGGCGAGAGTCCCGTCGTTGCGATCGCATGGCCCGAGGGGCGGGCGTGGTGGTGGGGAGAAGGAAGAGGGGGCAGGGAGGTGCGGGCTTATCAGAGAGGCGCCTGCGCTCACCTCCGATCCCAATTGTTGATCATGTCAGCTGCGACGAGTCTGGCGACCTAAACCTCCTCGTCATCATCCTCATCCTCCTCCCTTTTCTTTGTTCCTCCCTCCTTCCATCCATCGCTCCTCCTCTCTCTCCCTCCGACCCCTTCATCCTCCTCCTCCTCCTCCTCCTCCTCCTCCTTCTTTTTCTTCTTCTTCCTCCTCCTCCTCCTCCTCCCTAGTTGGGGGAAGCGTGAGGGGGCAGCACGAGTGAAGCATCGGCATCGTTCGTCGTGGGATGCCTCCAGCTGCTCGGGGTTCCCGCCCCAGCACCTCAGAGACCAGCTTTCCAGGCCGACCTCGCCCCACTCATTGACAAGGACGGCACGGACGATCGCATGGACGAACGCCTGGACTCCATGTTGTTGGCCACCATGCCAGCCAGGAGGGAAGCCTTTGAAAGGGCCGCGCGAGTGGGTAAATAATGCTGCGATAAGTGGCGCTGGCGATTGCGGGGGCACGGGCTATGGAGATGATACAAGGATATATTGTGCAAGAGGACGCGGATTCGAAGGACGTGGTGGTCCCAATTTTAGGATAGTGGAGTTTGGTCCGCGCTCAAAGCAGTGATGCGTCACAGGCAAAGTACTCTAAGCTGTGAGTGTGAATAAGCTCTGCCAAGCCATCATGATACGACGAGGGAACCAGAAGAACTCGAGCAATACATCAACGACAGGCAAGTTGAGATCAGTATGCGTTAAGCTTTCCACGCCGTGAACGAATCGCGCTGGCTGCCAGCACCGTTCAAGCGAGTGGGTTGGTCATGCAGTGTAAGGATGCGCGCAGTCCTGGGCTCTCACATCAGTTGGCTAGAAGAGAGAATCGTATCGAAGGGTGCACGTGGTTGAGGCCACATGGGCGTGCCTTCCGAGACGCCTCCCCAGATATCCACAGCAGCTCGTCGTCGGTCTGTGTTTTATTTCGAGCGCTCAACTATTTCTATTGGCCGGGGGAAGGATAGTTCTTTCTGCGTTCAACAGCCCGAGGATGCTCAATGTTGATTTGCGAGAAGAGGTTGTTTCGAAGGTCTCCCCCCGCTGCGGGTTGACGTTGAAGGCGCAGTCTGTGACAGATGATGGTGCCCTGGTGTTGACATTCGGCCGTTCGAGGTTCTCTGTCCTACTAGCCCCTGGTCAGGTATTTCGAGCCGTCGATCCAGCGTCAAGGTTCGACTCTTTGCTTATACCCTCGCACCGCGCAGTCGGAGATGATGGATGGTTTGGGAGGGGATGCTGGGGAGAGGGGGGGGGCTGGGGGAGGGGGAAGGGCACATACCCCCTTACCGTAAACATCCTGCTTGCTACTGTTTCCGACCAGAGTCCGCTGAGGGTTTGAGGCAACACGCGGTCGTGCCCTGGTCTCGACGCGTCGTGAAGCACCGTGCCATCTGCTTCAGGAGCAGAGGAACTGAAATACAAAAGCAGTGGTGCTCGACACTCGGCGGCGAGCGAGGGGGGGAAGTGAGAAGGACAAAACCTTCTCAGAAGGCGGCGGGACTTCTCAGAAGCCCTCGCGCCTTTGAGAAGTTTTCTGTGCCTCTTCGGGGAAGGCTTCGAAAACTTCTCAGAAGGCCGGAGCAGAAGGCCGGAGGCCTTCCGAGCCTTCTGAGAAGGCCCGCCCCTTCTCACTTCCCCCCAGGCTCGCCGCCGAGACACACCATGCGTGGCTCAGCGCAACTGGATATCCAACAGTTGGATATCCAGTTGCGCTGCCGTGCGATTCCGCCACCGCGCTCGGGCGGGCACGGGGAGGGGGGAGGGCCCTGGAGTGCGGGGGGGAGGGGGAAGGAACCATGGACCCCCCCTCCCCAAACATTGTGTTCGGGGCCATGTTCTGCCTTGGAGGGTAAAACACGCAGGGACTTGGTCACACAAATGAGCGCATCTTGGGCTCGATGCTTCGGGGGGCCTTAATTCGAATTTTGCGAAGGCGACAGGACCCGATGCACACCAATCGCTGTAGGCGCTTTGATAGATATGAGTTCTGTAGGTGTGACCCACTCGAAATCTTGGAGTCACGACCCATTCGTGTTGTTCATACCTGCTGGGCTGTCGATGAAGAGTTCTTCATGACGCGGACCGCACGAAACGGCTTGGTTGAAGCACAGCCGCGCTATGCCAAACAGGTTGGCATTCCAGGTCGATGTTTCCAGGAGCGTTCACGTGACGAAGCCGTGCCTAAATCACTTCGATCGCGGTGAGGAGATTTGTACAGAGTCGCAGTATTTGGAGCATTGTATTTTGGGCGCGCCGCGCTACGAAAGGGACCCATCATGTGCATCGACCCTTGGGAAGACGAGGACCTTGCAACATGTTGAAGACATCACTGAGCTGAACATCCTTACATATGTGGGCAACACACATGATGTAATGCCATGTGTAACGTGCGCTACAGTCAATACCTATCCCCCACATCTTCGAGATTTGTGACGTCCGAGTGATACACAACTGGGAGTAGTCATCCACCTTCATGGTTGTGAAGCTCCCGCCCTGTGTACAACGTCATTCGGGCGTGACATGACCATGTGCGGGGTTCTCGAGCTGCGTGGCGGCTCCGCAACAGCCAACAACGTCTTGGCCACGAGGAAAGGCACGTGTTGTCGAAGACGCCTACGGCGAATCACCGCCGCCCCCTGCTTTTGTGATCCTTTGTGGAAGCGCCAATGTGTCCGATAGCTGGGCTAGAGCTTGGCCAAGTTATCGGACCATGTGTTCCCCGAGTCGGTTTGGAAAGGTTCGGGGAACGCGCGAGGAGGAAGGGGAGGAGGAGGAGGAGAAGGAGGAAAAAGGAGAAGGAGGAGGATGCCTCTTCGGAGCCTCTTGAGGCACTCTTGGGCTCGATTGGACCATCTTGGGACCGTCTTGGAGGCCATGTTGGGGCTACCTTGGGCTCTCTTGGGGCCTGTTGAGGGCCTCTTGGGGCCCTTTTGGGGCTTCTCGGGGGCTTCTTTGGCCGTCGTATGGCGTTCCTGGCCCGTCTGACGCCGTCGGGAGCCGTCTTGGGTGGCGTTGGCGCATGCGGCCTGTGCCCCTAGAGCATTCGGTGGAGCTCCCTATGGGGCCACGAAACGTTGTCCTGGGTGGCGTTGACGCATGCGGCCTGTGCCACTGGAGCCTTCGGTGGAGCTCCCTATGGGCCACGAAAGGCTGTCCTGGGTGGCGTTGACGCATGCGGCCTGCGCCACTGGAGCCTTCGGTGGAGCTCCCTATGGGGCCACGAAGCGCTGTCTTGAGTGGGTGAAGCGCAAGGAGGTGACGAGGCAGATCGGAGGAGGAGGAGAGGAGACGCGGGGCGCTGTCTCTTCAAAACGAGGACCCAACACCACAGGATACTTTGGGAAGTACATGCTTGAAACATTGCGGATTCTTCCTTTTTCAAAGCACAATCAACACATAGATTAGTGCGAGGCTTGACCACTCCTCCTTGTCTCATGTCGCTCCTCCTCCTCGGCCCTCTTCGGATGCAGGAGGAGGGGAGGAGAGAGGGGGGAGGAGGAGGAGGAGGAGGAG